TGGACAAGCTACATAGAGCGATATCGTGCAGAAATATGCGCGATTTTGCGGCGGGAAATCGCGCGATAAACCGTTCAGTGTGAACGGGGCCTTAATGTGTGTTGATGGGCCCATAGTGTGTCTAGAAGTCAATAGGATTGCATTAAAACCCCTGATATATGCATGTTCATGTGCTGCAAAAGCATAGTTAGCAAGACCTACCACTGGCAACAGACCATGCGCTCTTGGCGTAGCTACATTTGAAGAATGGCAAGCTCTTCTCACACCTCCCTACGTGCTCGGCACATAATTGGAGAAAACTTACAATCAAAACGCACATAATAACATGAAAACGTGCCTTGAAATTGTATGAAAAGGGAAGTGCATAGGTCAGCCAGCCTTAATATTCCTCTGAGATCTGAGCTCATGAACATAAAAAAAAAACCTGAATGTTTTCCAATAGAATAAATGAATAAAAGTGGCAAGCAGCCAACATCTCACATTCTGCAGGATTATCCAGCTAACACTAAGAAATGTGGACTCTACACTGTCTTCTCAAACACCAGCTGGCTGCTGCCACTTCATCTGGTAGGGGGACTTACAGTCCAACTTGACTTGTTGTGTCACATAGTGGTGGCGGCGCCATGACTGGTGGGCACTGCTGGTACAGGTGTCATCTAGCTTTCCTTTTTGTTGTCACCGCCTTAAGGTATATGTAAACCCAAACTCTAAAATCTCATACAATCCTCATCATGCAACATAACTGCAAAAGTCATGTTCAATCATCTTAAAATGACAGCTTTCATTGGTGATCCCGCTACGAAGATCCTTATTCAGGCACTTCCTGTTATCGGTTGACAACGCTCTGTCCCTTTTTATTTAAGAACAGCTTGAAGTGGAGCTACCCCAGCACTGCAAGAGTTAAGTGCTTGTTTTTGTCTAGATATCAAAGTTATACTTATCCGATCCTCCGAGCAAGCCGGCTGCGACATTGCTGATGGGCGGAGACCGGGTGACACCCCGCCGTGACATCATCACGCATGCGCGTGACGTTGCCACATGCGCGATGATGTCATTGTGCATTCGCGGTCATCTTATTGACGCCTGCCAGCAGCCATCTTGGTGAGAGAGGAGGGGGACGTTCACCCGGCGGGTCCCCTCCTTTTTCCTGACATTGCCGGACTCTCTGTCCGTGGCTGAGTGCCAGACTTTTCATAGGGGGGACACCAAAATGACTGACAGTCATTTTGGTGTCACCCCTCCAATGGTGGGACCTGGGTGTAGGCCGCACCCCCTGCACCCCCCTTGTGATGCCACTGCTTCGGCGCCCTCATGTCCTATACACTATGGGGAGAATTTATCACAACTGGTGCAGAAGAATCTGGAGCAGTTGCCCAATCAGCTTTTCTCTTTAGTCTGTTCAGTTAAGGTTTGAAAATGAAAGAGAGAAGCTGATTGGTTGCCATGGACAGCTGCTCCAGATTTTGTCTGCTCCATTTCTGATGAATTCCCCTCTGTGTGTAGAATGTAATGACTCAGGGACCTTACACCGCTGCAGTGGAGGGGTAGAGAGGCTCCAGGGACCAATCTAACAGTCAGCCCATTTGGAGAATCCGGTGAGTATAAATTTTTTATTTTCACCCAAAGCAAAAACGAGCACTTAACCCTTCCCGTGCGGGGGTAGCCCTACTACAAGGGTTCATACATTTTTTTTACCTGGAGTTCTGCTTTAATTGCTCTCTTGCGTTGTCACCCTTTATCATGCGCCCCTGCTGGAAACTATAAATGGCTCTGCCAACGCTTATGGAGCAGGCATGTTCAATTGTCACTGCTATCTGGGGACCCTCCCTGACAAATGTCAGAGTGCACATAGGGATGAAGTGGCTGCAAATAGGCTGCAGGAGATCAGCAGCACTGAAATACAACAAAGGATTCAAAAACAGGTAAAAAATGAAATCACGGCAGGTGTTTATGATGCACAGTTCTATAAGAATTGAAATGTCATTTATTTAAGGTTTTGCTTTAAATGAAACTCCTGGCAAACACAGTTAAAATGAATATATGTTTATTTTCTAGACCTGCCAATGGATTTGTAGTTCTGTGCAGCCAATCTTGTGATGTCATTGTCATTCCTCTTCCTGCTTTGTTCTTAGTGTGCCACTGACCTAAAACTAGTGTGCACCCAGGGCCGGTGCTAGACTATTTTGCGCCCTAGGCAAGACCAGCTACTTGTACCCACCCCACCCCCCCTCCCCTGCTCAGCCCTCAGTCCCCTCCCCTGCTCAGCCCCATTCTCCTGCGGGTCAGCTTCTGCAGGCGACAGGTGGATGTCATTTAATTTGAAATAGCCAATAGCATGCTGGCTATTGAAACCCCACCCACTAAGCAGAGGAGCGAACCTGAGAGAGAAAGTAGTCTCTCAGTTACGTTCCTCTGCTCAGTGGGCGGGTGCAAGAGCCAGCCTGCTATTGGCTTTTGCAATTTGAAATAGACGTGGTGCAATTTGAAATAGACGGGGGGTTAATGGTCAAGGCTGCACCCCAGGTAGCAGTGCTCCCTAGAAGGCTGCCTAGTTTGCCTAGTGGCAGCACCGGCCTTGTGTGCAGCACAGAAGTTCAGACTTCTCACACTTATTGCATGCTTGTTCCAGGTCAGTGGCTCTGTAACACGCTAGGTTGTAAAGCCAGGATCATGGTATCCTGATGGGTTCATTTTAATGACGCACTTTAAATACTCATGTGATTGTGAACTGTATATGGCTAATTCTGTTCAGTCAGTCCTGTGATTCACATTCCCCTACCACAGTACCTAGTTGTCAGCACTTTCCTAGTACCTTTGTCTTTGTTACCTCCCAGTCTCCACCCTAATCACTGGACTATGAAATAATATAATCTCACTCCTGAGGTTCTTCCTCAGCTCCCTTCCTCCTGTAAGCTGCACTCACCCCATACCCTCCTCCTGCTTCCAATGCCTAAAGACATGTTAGTTTGGCAGCACTGTGCAATTTAATAGAGTTTGTCTAATACACAATGAATGAAATGCCACTGTTAGGGGTCTGTATATAAACAATTCACAGAGCCATTTGTCCTGCGAAACTCTGTGAATGTTCCGTGCAAATGGAGGCAAAAACGTCTTAGTTTATTTTCTCTACAAGTCGAATGTAATAATAGGAAAATACCACATTATGGCCACTAGATGGAGCTGAGGAGCCTAGGAACAAAGTATTTATTTCCCAAGCTCCTTAGCTCCATCAAGTGGCCATAATGCGGTATTTTCCTATTATTACATTCGACTTGTAGAGAAAATAAACTAAGAACATTTGTTTTAGCCTCCATTCACACAGAACTTACATTCACAGACTTTCACAAGAAAAATGGCTCTGAGAATTGTTTATAAATAGACCCCTTAGTCTGATCTTTACTGTGAAGGGAATTGTGGGAAGGTAATACAAATACAGATTTCAGGCAGCTAAACCAGCAGTATTTTAAAATACATTTTAATCATGTTTGATTATTACATTACCTTTCCTTTTTCTTTTTGCCTGCCTTTAGGCTTTTATGTATAGGTACTAGGATCCTAGGTCCTTTAAAAATATCTCATGATTATATTTCTCTTTCTAACTTGCAAAGTAGTATTAAACACTCAAACTTTTTTTAAAGGAGAACTATGAGGTGAGTGAAAATCACTCATCCTCATAGTTCGAGCCGACGTGTGACAATGAAACTGTCACACGTTGGCTCAATAGATTGGGAAGTGAGCGAACGCATACACTTCTCGACCATCTCCCTGCAGAGAGCAGTGACTGTCACTCACGGCTCCCTGCAGGGATCCCCCCCCTCCCTGCTCCGATCCTCCGGCGCTGACGGGAGGAATGGACGGGGGAGGGAGCGGTAACAGCTGGCTCTGCCTCTAGATAGGCAGAGCCCGCTGTCACTCACACAGCTGGGTGGATCCAGACAGTATTGGATAGAATTGGGAAGCAGCCAAGTAGCCCTCGGAAACAGGCGGTAAAAACGCACGATGAGAAACGCGCATATTCAATACGCCTAGGTGTGAACCCAGCCTAAGAGAACTGTGGGGGAAAAACCCTACCCCATAGTTCTCCTTTAATAATGAATATAGATGAAAAAAATATACATTTCCCAGCACAGTATTTTTTGCCAAAACACTTACTGTCATCATGTTTCCAAACAACTCCGACTCTCCCAGCTCAGCTTCCCTGAACCTCCTGTCCAATACAAGATCACAAGGGACAAAGCAGTCTCCATCAGCCATCCATCTATTAGTTTGGAGAAGGGAAGAGGGAGGAGAGGGGAGCAGAAAGCAGAGGAGTGCCTGGCCTTGCTGTGAGACACACACAGCTTACTAGCACACACACATGGGTGGCTCCATAGGGCCCTGCATGGGAAAGGGGACACCCTAAAAAAAGGATCAGTGCTCAGGGGACCAGCTGATTCTGTAGGAAACTAAAACTTTTTAACATCAAGCTGCAGCCTCCATTGTAAGTGATTTCATCAGCATTTGAAATAGCCTAAAAACATTTTGACTGTAATATCAATGTAACTGATGATGTCATCGCTCTGCTCTGTCCACCTCTCAGCACGCACGAGTAATTCAGGTAGAGCTTAATTATCTAACATTTCTGTTGCTTCATCTCCGAGTGCTGCACATGAGATTACAGGTTAAAGTAGCATTAAAAATACATTTGTTCATTTTATTTTTTTGGATGAATGTAAATGTGAATCAGATGTGAATCAGACGTGAATCAGATGTGGCTTTTTTCAAACTGCCTATAGTTCTACTTCAATAGAGACCGGTTTTCTGATCATCATTAAAGAATAGTCTCTAAGTTATCCAACGTGATTGAAGTGCTGCAACAACCAACATGTATCAATGACTTTAATGTTTTATATATTTTCTATGTTTTCATTTCCTTTGTCTGTTTATCGTGTTTGTCCTTTGTGAACCCAAAACATTTAGAATATTCTCTTTTGTATTTCCTTTGTTCTGCTGAATATCAGATAACGGTCGCGATATCAAAGGTAACGTGTGATTTGGCAAACGGTTTCTTTTCTTATATCTGCCTCTTCTAGAGTGGCCACTTTTGTTCGGCATGTTAACTTGCTTGTTGCATGATCGATAGAATCTGGTGCCCTCTGCTGGCCCAATAATGACTCGGCGCATTATTGAACCGGTATTTATGGCTGGATAACAGCAGAAAAAAACGCTACATATTGATCTAAATTATTTCAAGTAAACTGCCTATGCATCTGGCGTGCACAAAGTCACTCTACTCCTAACCTCTGGTCTTTGTATCCTTTGAATTTTACAGGGTTGGAAGTACAGTATTCTAGTTAACTCCTTTGCTGCCAGACCGCCGTTGTTAATTGATTTATTCACCCTCTGGTAGCAAAGAGGTAAATTGAACGCAGCAAAACATGTGCCTGTTTACTTCATTCACTCCTCTTTTGTCTCCTTAAAACCAGTTTCACATTCCTGGATGGCAGGGGGTATGGCTTATTTTTGGTTTATTAAGATTAGATATTCATGCATGTGTCTCTGATATGATTGAGCCCGCCGGAATGGTTTGCCACGCGTACAAATATTGATGTTGTTTTTTTACAGCGTTGGATTCTAAAGGGTTAATCTGCCTAAACTGGATATTTCAGTCACCTGTGGAATTTGGCCAGCTGAATCACCTTCTCGTATGATGCAAAGTGTATGTTAAGCAAGAAATGTTTTTGCTAGTTTTTTGTAGTGTGGGGAAGAAATGCAACCCCTCTCGGGTTTGTACTATAAATGTAGGAATTGTAACACCACACCAATTAAAATAGTCCAGAAACAGCTTTATTCCACTAGGGTCAAGTAGAGTAGGCAACGTGTTTCATGGTTCTGAAACACATCCCCTTCATCAGGGCTAAGAGAGAGAGAGATTATTTATGTGGACTACAAACCTTGCAGACAGTGGCGTAACTATGGCCTTAGCAGCCCAGACGGCTGCTCTGGGGCCTGGGGGATGGAAAGGGGCACCATTAGGTTTTTACCATTAGGTAAATTAAACATGTGAAGATAACACAGTACTGTATTATTTAGGGATGGAGGGGTTGACAACCCTAATCCTTTGTAAAAATCTACAGTGTAGGGAGGTTGATGTCAGATGCACAAGAGGAGTGTTTGGGATCTTTTACTTTATGCTTATTTTGTTGCGCAGTTCATCAAATTACATTTAAACAGCAATAATTAGCTTTTTATTGATTCAGCATATGTGTCCTTTTTCTTCCTTTCGTAATGTATAGATGCCTTCTCAATTTAGAGAACTCATTCTGATAGACAATACACACAATGCTAGTAATGAGATATTGTTTGGTGGGTTAAGGTACCGCCTCTGTAGTATTTATTATTTAAAATGCGCTCAAATATCAGACTTGAATGGCAACACATACACAATTATGAAATTCAAGATCTTTTTATTATTAATACTTTAAAATATTTTCTTTTTTTAAAACATACAACAAAAATGTGTTACAAACACATACAGGTCTCTGAGGTTTGAGCTCAACATTTCGCTGGGCCAGCCATAACCCATTAACATTGACATTTTGCATCAGTTTAAAAAATACTGTTACACGCGTCACATACAGTATGCAGTATTACCCATACACCTTCCCATGTTCCTACATACTATACCAAGTAAAAGGCCATTAAAATTATATCTCTAGTCAAAACTTTTTTTTTTCTTAGATTTGGATAGGGTAGAGAAGGATTAGAACTGTCAAGATTTATTGTTATCTGTCTCCTCACTGGGGAGTTCCAGCCTCTCTTTTTGTCCATTGCCACCGGGACAGAAACTGGACAGAAACCCAAAATCTGACAGTTGTCATCAGTACAAGAGATGAAGACAAATCTTCCAACAAGCGCACTTCTTCCCAAACTAAAAGGGAATTTCCCTGCTTAGATTTCGACTCACTTTTTGAGCACAAGAAGTTAAATTAAAGTGTAAGGACCCATTCACACTTCTGCACTTCTATATTGCATATTCCGAGGACAAGAATCAGAGGATTCCTGCGGCCTGAATGACAGACGAATAGGTGCCGCAGTTGTCCATGGCTGTTCACAAATCCAGAGATTAACTTTGGTTAGGAGACAGATTTTCCTATCCTTATCCTTCCAATCATCTGTCCCTAACTGCAGGTAATCTGTTGATGTCTAACAGGTCTGAAACTTTTATACACCTGCCTGTCCAAAAAGAAAGTCACACTCTAATATTTAGTTGGACTGCCTTTAGCTTCGTTTATTGGATGCATTTGCCATGGCATGGTTTTGCTAAGCTTATGCAATGTCGCAGCATTTGTTTATGTCCAGAGTTGCATTCATTTTTCACCAAGATCTTATAGTAATGATGGAAGATTCAGACCGCTGCATAAAGTCTTCCCCCACACATCCCAAAGATTCTCAATGGGGTTAAGGTCTGGACTCTGTGGTAGGCAATCCATGTGTGAAAATTATGTCTCATGGACCCTGAACCACTCTTTCACAATCTGAGCCCAATTTAATCCTGGCATTGTCATCATGGAATATATTTCTTCAGGGAAGAAAAAATCCATTGATGGAAAAAAAATCTGGTAATTTATTATATTTAGGTAGGCAGCTGACCTCATTTTTTGGGCATATAACATTGCTAAATCTAGACCTATTATCCAGTGGAAGGCTCTGACCTTTTTTTTAGCTAAATCCAGGTGGTGACTTTTTTGGGGGATAGGCATTGTATATTTACTATTGGAAGCACACATGCCCTGGTTCCCAAAATCTGCTCCAATATGTGTAAGAAAGGCTACAGTGATATCACAGAGTGAGGTCAAAGTTTGAGGCTGGTGGCCATTAAAATACGGGAATACCAAAAACTATAGAGATTTAGCTGGCAAGGCAGCCGAATGCCAGGGTGAAAATTAAATCAACACATGTTAGTTTGTATGCCCTAACAACTGATTAACAATATAGTATTGCAGTAATATATTAATTAATGGTTATATGTTCATTGTGGGGTCGTTCTTTCTGAATTGCACTCCAATGCACATATACAGTAAGTAAAAGCGCACTTGCACTACAGCATGCCACAAAGCACAGGTGTGAACAGTTTGTGCATTGTGGTGCCGTGTGTTGTCAAAAAAGCGTAGATGTGTTTTTTCATGCTTTGAAGTGTGTTGACAGCCTATTCTAAATAAATAGGCTGCCTTAATGCAATGCACATCAATGCACAGAAAAACAAATGTATGTTATTGCACCACAATAGTCTGAATGGGACCTTAGTTTGTTTTAGAGCAAATTGTTTGGAAAATTATATCATGACATGGGCAAATCCCCATGTACAAAACATGATTATACTGTTAAAGCCTATCTCGACCCTTGCAGTGGGATACACCCTCACTGCAAGGGTTAACTGCTCATTTATGTCTAGGGGACCCGTGTAAAGGACTTTTACTTACCTGATCCCCGCTCCCCCCGAACAGTCGGTGCTCACCTCTCTGCTCCAGCTTGTGGACTGTCCCTTGGCTATGGACCCTGCATTGTACGTGATGATGTCAATGGGCCTCCAAATGCCTGATCAGGTAAGTAAAAGTCTTTTATTTGGCTCACCTAGACCTTAACGATCAGTTAACCCTTGATGTGCAGAGGCAGCCCCACTACAAGACCTTCATGTACAAGGCTAGAAATATTCTTGCGATTTCTTAAACAGCGCGTCTGTCTATCAATATTCATGGCAAACCATTCCATGTGGCATTTGATTGTAAAATTGCTAGCTTGCATGCTGTGTATGATTATGTGATTATGATAACATGGCGTATAGTTACTAATTGTTGTGTATATTTGTTGTTATTGTTCTCATGGAGTTACTAATCTTCTAAATGAATGTTTAATGATATGAAAGATGCTCTTTATCAAAATTACATTTCAGCATCCCATACAGTATAGTTAGATGTTCAACTGAATGGTGCTTCTTAAAGCCCAGCTGAGCTTTCAGTTTAAATCAGCAAAGTACATTCCAGATGCATCAAAACAAATGCTGTGCAAAATCTTACAGTTTGTTTTCTTTATAAAGCAGCCACAGCCTGAGTAGAAAAGCCTGCCCCCTGCCCGCATGCTGCTGAAAAGAAACCTTGATCTCTCTCTGCAGAATTCTAATGCACCAATGTATAAGTCAGACATATAGCTCTGCTGTCAGCTTATGCTCCCTGTCGATTTAGGAGCTCCAGGTCTCATTCCGTATGGGGTGTGTCAGACCTCTTCCATACAGAGAGAAAAGGGTCCTTCTCTGCAGCATGCTGGCAGGAGACAGGCTTTTCTACTCTTTCTAAAGAAAACAAAATGTAGGACTTTGCACAACTTTTGTGGTTGGAATTTAGTTGATTTAAACTGAAAATTCAGCTTATAAACATAAGTCCACTTTTTTCTAAGAACTCTGAAATGTGAAGCTTCTTGCCTATAAGTATAGTGCCTTACCAGTGTTTTTGTTGAGTGGATGAAGTCCAAAGTTACAGCGCTCACCGGCGGGGGTGGGGGGTTCTCTAAGATTAGGTGTGCAGCTTCTCGTTTGTACGGACCGCGGTGTCCAACATACATGTATATAAGGGAACAAGGACAGGGGAAGCACCACAGCCAAAAAGTAAAACAACCAAAAAGTAAAAAGTGAACTGGTGGGTGTGATCACCAGTGGGCCCTAAGGAGAATGGGCTTTCCTTACCAGTGTGGGCAAATGTAAAGAAAACCTTTACTGTGGAGGCTGCCATTGCTGACTTTTCATTCTGCAAAATGAAGGACTATGTAGCCATGGATTTCTGACTTTACTTCAATTTCCCTTATATATGTATTTGCTCTGGGTAAGAAAGGATTGAAGCCAGTAGACCATTAGCCAGTAAACTATCATTTTCATGAGATCAGCAATGACAGCAGCACAAATATATTTCAGGAAATAGGGTGAATGGTATTTTGTGGCTGTATATACTATGTGACTTCAGTGGATGGCGATCCAAACAAAATCTACAATTAAGTGTAGGTGAAACCTGCAACATGCTAAGCAGGGGACTATTTATGTTAACAGAGAGTCAAAAATAAGGAGAACATTTTTTTAAAATAAGCTACACCCTTCTATGTGTAAAGTTTTTTTTCTCCCCAAAATAAGAAAATGTTGTTTGTTGGATTAGTAATTCAGAAACTGTACAATACAGTTGGAGTTGACTTGGTATAACTTAACTAATGGATACAGAAAATTAGGAGTCTATAGACTACATAGCTCAGTTACAGGGCCAGTACACTCAAAACCGATATTTCAGTTGTGGGTGAGTGACAGCTGGCTGAATCACTCTCGTATCTCTTGGCAGCTCCAGGGGTTATAGACCTCTCTGCTTTAATTCCTGACCCTGCCATGTAACACTCCATTCCCACTCCTTCTGCCAGACCAGACAATGTTTGAATGGTCCTCCTACATCCAGAAAACTACAGTTTCTGTGATGACCATGAGTGGTTAATGGAGCAGAAAATTAGAGTGCAGAAATTATGCAATAGTAAAAGATACACAAAGCCATCTACTGCAGTGTCCAAAATGCCCACTTGGGCAGGCTGGCTCTTTTACATTTGCTTTATAACTAATTCATATCTCCCAACTTTCTGAGCTGAGAACGAGGGACGTATTTTAGAACAAAGTATACAGTATAAGCAAAGGACACACCTTTGTCATGCCCCTTTTTTGGGGGGATCTTAAAAAAAAACGATTGGTTAAACCCACAAGTACTTTATTCACCCTTATCTTTCCTTCATACTACCTTTTGAAAAAATAAATAAAAACAATAATTTAGAGATTAGATGAGACTCTTAGCACAGAATAACACTTTGTAGATACATTGTATGTTTTTAAAAGAGAACTGTACTTCAGACCAAAAAGACAACTGAAGAAGAAGGTGGGACAGAGGGATATGATTCCTAAAGTAGGTCGGTTTTTGCCCTCCAGTTGAAGGATAGTTGGGAGCTATGCTGATGAGTAATTTCTCTAGGACAGATGGGAGCTGCGCTGATGAACCCCCTTTCTAGTGTAGCTGGGAGCTATGGTGATGACCCCTCTATTTAGGATAGATGGGAGCTATGCTGATGAACCCTCTTTCTAAGATAGGTTGGAGCTATGCTGATGAATCTTCTTTTCTAGGATAGCTGGTAGCTATGCTGATGAACTAATTCTTAAAGATAGTTGGGAGCTATGCTGAAGAACCCACTCTCAAGGATAAGTTGGGAGCTATGCTGATTAAACCTCTCCCTAAGATAGTTGGGAGCTATGCTGATAAATCCTCTCTCTAGGATAGTTGGTAGCTATGCGGAGGAACCCTCTTTCTAGGATAGTTGGGAGTTATGCTGATGAACCCTCAATCTAGGATAGTTGGGAGTTATGCTGATGTACACTCTATCTACTAAATTCAAGAAAATTAACACAGAAATACGAGGGCTTCCTTTCCTGACCTCACTCTAAGAACAGTCTGTCTATGGCTTCAATACTTTCTGAGTCACTAATCCTGGACAAGCATAAAGATCAGAACGTCAGGGAAGAGTCAAAACACCAGATCTGCATACTTGTCATTGACTCAGAAAGCATTAAAGCTTTTCTATCGGTATCAGTACTTTTAGCAATAAGGGTCAGCAATGGCACCCTTTACGTACTTACGTTGCCCATTCATTTTCAGTTGACTCCTAAAAAATGAAAACAAATCTCCCCAATGGGAAACAGATGGCAAAAAAACCCAACATGGGTATTAACTCAGAAGCACAACTACAACTCATGGGGCCCCGTAGCAAAATTTTGATAGGGCCTCCAGTGACTTCTGCAGCAGCTGGCAGAAGTTCAGAGGACCATGAATCTACACTGATAAGACAGATAAGGAAATGCTTCTTCCTGCACAGTGGGGGATCTGTGACCAGAGACCATCCTGAGGTCTGACTTCACCCCTTCTATACTATAAACATCACATATTTGGTTTTCCTTAATGGGCCCCCCTTCCCATCCCAGGCCCCATAGCAGTTGCATCATATAGTTATACACCACTGTGTTAACTATTCCCTAATCCAATATTTGTCAATTGATAGGGAATTGAGGGCAACAACTGCAGCTCCTGAAAGGACCAATGGGACATCATCATAATAATGAGTAAATGTATTGCTACAGTGACTGTCAGAGACTACAATCATACTACAGGAGAAGTCAGAGACTGCAGGCACACCACAGGAGATTGTCAGAGACTGCAGACCTATGACAGTATAGTAGATGGTTAGAGACTGCACACATACTACAGATGACTGTCATACTAAAGGAGATGGTCAGATACTCCCAACATACGACAGATGGCTGTCACAGACTTTAGGCATACTGCAGGAGTTGGTCAGAGACTGCAGACATACTACAGGTGTTGTTGGAGAATGGAAACCTGCTGCAGGAGACAATTAGAGACATGTAACATTAGACTGATATTACAGCTCCATTGCAAATAATGCTCCCACTACCATGGACTGCAAGGAGACGCATAGAAACTACCAATGGGCCACAGGGCAGGCACCAGGGCCTTAAGCTATAAAGGATGATCAAAAGTATTGGTTGTATGTATAATTTAGGACCATTTAAAATTTTACATTGGAAAAAAGGGTCATGTGCTTTTTTTTAATAAAGTATTTCAGGGTGTGTGACGTAACACAAAATAGTTAATGGGCACTTAATGTTTCTCTCTCTTTTTTAGCTGAAACAAGTAAAATATTTTTGAGTGATGATGTGAACATGTAAAAAAGTATGAAATCAAATGATTTCCAGTAATATATCAGTTACACATTGTGCCTAAACTATGGCGATCAATTAAACCAATCTAAATTTCTCCTAGATCAATAAAGCTTCACAGCTCATGTTTTTACATTTTCCATCTCTATCTCAGCTATTTTATTACACCATTTTTTTTGTTCATGCCTAATGAAATGTATCCCTCAGTGCAATGTCTTCATCAAACAGAGACTCAGATCAAATCAGCTATTTTAGTGAGTCATGGAAATACTCAGAGTCCCAGTTAGTGGAATGAAATGAAACTCTACTGACCACTTCAAATGCATTATGGGGTCTAATTACAACAATTCGTAGAGCCGTTTGTGCAATGAATCTTTATGAACATTTGTTCTGTGTGGATAGATACAAAGACGAATGTTCTTACAGGGTTATTCACATAAGGGTGAAGAGTTTGGAGAAGGCAGGAGAGGTGAACAATCTAAGACAAAATAGATGATTTGGACAAAATTCTCCAATTCCGCTCACTTTCCAGTTCAGCTATGTTGCCCTAGATTGTTCACTACCTTCTCCAAACTCTTCACCCTTTTGTGAATAATCCTGTTAGTTATATGTTCATATCACTTTGAATGTATGCAATGTAATACTGCATTTTGGCCACTGGATGGAGATTAAGTATTTACTAGTATCCTCTAAAGGCCATAATGATGTATAATATTACATGCATTCAACCTGAAAAGAAAATATATCTAAAAACATTCATTTTTGCATCTATTTACACAGAACAAATTTTTTGAAAGATTTGTAGGGTGAATGGCTTTGTGAATTGGCTATAAATAGATTCCTATGTGTTGTACAAGGTAGCTGCTAACAAAGTCTATCTCCAGCCAAAATCTTATTTTTTTGTTTTGTATACTGTGCTCTGCCAGGTATTTATTATTGTCTGTCTTGCTCTTGGGGGGAGTTCCCCTTACTTCCTGGCCATGCCTATGTAGAGTAATGCAGCAGGTTTACTTTTTTACAGACCTCCACAGACACACATATCTACCTACCTTTCACTCCTGCCCCATTCAGCCTCTGGGAGTGAAAGCACAGCTTTGTGTAAGCTACAGGTCACTGCAGTAGCAGCTTACATAGCACTATGGATTCCCCTAGTTAGCCCAGTGATGTCACATGGGGTATTCACATGCTCCTTCATACTACAGAAGTATCTGGTATTTATTTTGGCTCCCGGCACAAAATGGAGCAGTGGGTCAATGCACATGAGCAAGTACAGGGTTGCTTTAAGGATTTTTATTTGATTTTAGTGCTGATAGAGCCATGAAAATAACCCTCATGCCAGTGAAACATCCCCTGGAGAACTACAGAGGGTGTTCCTCAAAACCTGAGCACCCTTGGCCTCTCTTTTTCAGAGGGTTTGATTGAGAGCCATGTAAAAAAAAAAAGGAATGTCAACAACCATAAGTATATAGTGAGGGAGGTTGTAATCAGGACAAAATGGATGATGGGATAAAAATTAAAAATACCCAGCAAGTAGACTGTGTCCTTTGTCTGAGACCAAACATAACATTTTCATGCGTGACTAGAGTTGACCTTTAAAGTTGCCTCCTGTTTGGTGGCTATTGGTTACCTGACTTCATTTAGTTCCACTTTTCATCTTTAATTGCACTGCTATCAGTCTTGAGGTTTCCATTTGCTCTGACTACTCAGCAATTATACTGTCTTCAATACTAATATACCATAAATAAATGTTGCTCATCTCTCCTTGGCATCTTAACACATTGAAACCTGTTCAAAGACTTAGGTTATCATTCAGTGTTTTGTTCTACAAGTGCCTCTTGTGATATTTTGGTTACATTTGTCTTTAACTGCTTCCAGGCCCTTTTAATCATATCAAATCAAGCCTTCTCGGATCGACTTCTGATTCAAACCTGAACAAATACAGCACCATCAACAAAATCCCTCAACTCACACTGAACTTTTCAGATGTAAAAACTGAAAAAAAGGCATCCTCTCCTCCATCGGAAAAAGCGATCATAGCGCCCAAGGTGAAGGAGCGAACACACAATGTTACAGAGAAGGTTACGCAGGTAAGAAAGTAGATGGATAAACTGCTGTATCAAAAAGTAGACATGTAAGCTGCGAAAAAAATTGTTTCAGTTTGGATATTTTGTTATTTCCAAATTCGTTATTCAGAGCTGAATTTCAATTCGGTTTCGGATTCGGACGAAATCCGAATTTTCGTTAGTTTCAGATAAGTTTACGAATATTCGTTGCAAATACCACAGAAAACCATATACAGATATTAATACTAAAGCTGAATCTCCTAGACCCGAATGGTATTCGGGATCCGAATTTCCAAATTGCATTTGGGAGCTCCCGAATGCCATTCGGGTCTGGGAGCCATATACATATATTACTAAAGCTGAGGCTCCCAGACCCGAATAGCATTCGGGAGCTCCCGAATGCAGTTCGGAAATTCGGATCCCAAATGCCATTCGGGTCTAGGAGATTCAGCTTTAGTGTCATATGTATATACTGAACACAAATTTTCATTACAGCAACATGGGAGCCATATATTATATGGTTCCCATGTTGCCCTAATGAAAGTTTGTGTTCAGACCCATTCTAATGCATTCAACCGAAACACATCTAATTGGCAGGAAAAGTCACATGCTCGATTTAGTTTAGTTTTTGAATGAAATTCAGACAGGATCCGAAATTCGGAGACGGAAATTTGGATTCAGACACATTCAGATGCGTTGGGATTTGGAAATTCTGATGTGTTCGAATTTCAGAATATTTGTCTGAAACGAATCGCACATGTCTATCAAAAAGTGTGTTTGGAAGAATAGATAATGTTTTAGGTCCCAATTTGAGGATGGCATGTGATCCGTCAAAGTTGTTTTTTACTTCTTCAAGGATCACTTGGAATTGCAGTAGTTTACTAATTAAAGTAGCCATGTTCCTCTGATCCAGTCAACATCTGGATTAAAGTCCAAATCAGGCAAGCAATATAACCCTCCCCAAACATCCCTCCTGCTCCTAACAGTGCAGCCAAAAACAGCAACATCATCAGTTGATCTGCTTTGCATTTCTGTCTGTCAAAGGAGGAGTTTAAAGGACATATAGGTGGGCGTGTGGGTGGCTGAATAGTTGTTGATTAATATACAAAGACTGGGAACCTTGTGCCTGTGTGGCAAACACAACTATCTAGCATTTTCATGGTGGGAACAAATTTCTGTAAGCTGGAGAAAGTTTACCATGCAAAGTGAGCCATGGTGACTCATTGGTTGGGCGGAATGGTAAAAGGTGGGTGTTCCTAAATGACATGACATATTGTGACTTTTTCAGCATCAGCTTCCTTTGCATCTCTCAGCATTTGGTCACATGACCTTTTCTGTGATTGCAGGTCTGAAGGGGGAGCAGGTAGCTGTATAATATGCAGTAGCTGCCAAGCACTGATCCTGTTCTAATTGGAAAAAATTAAGTATCTCCACTAATGGTCATCCTGTCCTCCATCTCTATCCTCCCATGGTGATTAGGGAGTTTAGACTGGCCTGTCATTGCCACAGCTGCAAGCACGTCATGTTTTTAATGACAGCACTGTAACAGCACATTTATAATGCTGGCACTGGAAATGATCCAGCTCAGTAGTTGCCCATAGGGGCAAAAGAGCATTTTGGAGCTGGCAGTGTAGCATTTCAGTGGAGGAGCAGAAGAACATATTGACACTAAGAGGGCATATAGTATCTATTTAGAGGTAAAGTGGAGTTAATTTTGGTAAGTTTCTTTTTTAATGTTTGCAAGTTGATCTGATGTTGTTTTTCTCATTACCTGCATACTTGCATACCTTATTCTTCTTTATAATCAGTGGAATTCCTTTTTTTCAGCGCCAAATTATAGCTAATTTGCCTACAAACATCAGGTGGTCATAATAATCTGGCCACTCAGTGTATATATATTGCTTGTATGCTACTATTTTACTTTCTATATATGGCTTAAACTAAAACTGACAGTTGTTAGTCCTAAGTGCTGTCACATGGGGAGCATGCCTAGCAGTAAAAAGGTACCAATAGTGTTGGTACTTGGCAGGCAGGGTGGCTGCCATTATTAATTTTTATTTTAACACAGGTTTGCTTTCATAGCCTATTTAGTTAGACCTCCTTTGTATTTTATCTTAACAATTATGGATACCCTAATAAATATTCATCAAAGTATAAAGATACAATTTAAGACGCTGTTCTTCCTTGTGTACAATAAAACCCTTGCTAGTGTATTTAAGATTTAATTGAGGATCGTGATGACATTTACTTTTCATGGCTTTGCATCTAAATGTGGTTTAAAAGAGAGAGAATAAGGAGCGAATCTCTGATGTTTCATCTGTCATATGCACGGTGCAATAAATAAAATCATGAAACCAAATATTGATGTAGATATGGCCGGATATCCATTTCTGCAGCCTGTAGACACACAACCTGTGACACCTAAAGTAACACTCCCCTGAGAGGATCAGCACTTTCAGTAAGAACCCAATTTTGTTTTGTTTTTTTACTGATACTAACTCGTCCTGGAAAATTTCATTGTGACAATGAGGTTGTTAAAACAAGCCTGTAAGGCACCTAAAAACTCTAGAGGTCCTCTGCAATATAAGAGGTATTATACTCACATCTCTGGTGGCTCATGTCTCCTACCTTTCCTTTGTTTTATAGCTGCAGCTTCTGTCAGATTCATCAGCATTTAACACTTATGGGGTTGTTGTATACCAGTGCTCCCCCACTTCATGCGGTGGTTCCTCCTACAAACCCCTATATCACTAGAAGCCAGAACATTGATGTAGAAAGGATAGTACCACAGAATGAGGTGGGGACACAAGCATTGGACACTCTCCGAAGTATTCTATTTTGAAGAGTCTGCCAGAGGCTGCAGACTGTAATGGGGTAAAAGTAGGAGACACGAGTCACTGGAGAGGTAAGTATAATAGCTCTTCTATTGCAGGGGACCAGGGCCATCTTAAATATATATGAGACCAGGGTCATTTTTAATATATGAGATGATTAATTTTTACTGAATATAGAAAAATATTAGAACTTGACGATGCACTGACTTGTTTTCAGTTAAAAAAAGGGCTTTTTTTACTTTATCTATAGACTACTCCGATGTTGATTTAGGACTTTGCACCAACAGAGAAACATCACTTAATTATGTACCTGACACATTGGTTGGCTCTTTAATAGCTTTAGAATTTTTCAGGTTTTGGAATAGTGGTTGGTTGAAATGTAATAATTTCTGCATGGTAGTGCTCTCTTCTAACAGATACCAAGTCAAATGTGTGTGCAGAGCAACAGAAGTCTTCTCTTCACTTACAGAATATGGAAGGTGTGATAACAGTTTCAGGCAATCTTTGTGATTTGCCAAGTCTTTGTTTGCTTTGACAATGAACAAATATGGTATATAAAGCGGTAGATAAAAAAGCTGAATCACACTTTGTAACTGTGGAAACAATATCAACACAATACAATAAATCAAATTTACCAGTGTTGATATTTGAGTCATATCAAAGACATAACACAAAAAGAGTTGTGCTGGAGGAATACACATTGACCAAATGTGTCAATAAGACTGGTTAAACAAAGGTAAAGGAAACAGAAAAGCAAATAAATGACCATTACCAATTCAATGGCATACAAGGATTCCATTAGGAGCTGGGAGAGAAGATGACTATTATGTCCTTTGACCATGCTGGGCATAATGAGTAGCCTAGGGCAGAGTGGAGCACTGTTAGACAGCATTTACAGTGTACAATTTTATTGATGGGTATGAGGAGCGAGGTGGTTGTACAACACTTTTATATTTACATTTTAAGCTATGAACCAACTAAATTTCAACATCAAACCTCTAAAGTAGAAATGATGGCAATTTTGCAGTGCAGAGACAATTGGTGTATCTACTTTGATGGTAACATTGACATGCAGAGTGGTATAGGAGCAGGGATTGCAGCACTTCAAAAACAACTAAGTCTAGAATGGGAAAAAGGGTTGGACACAGACTGGATTTGCTCCTATATCTTGCAGTAACACACTATACATGCAGTAGTGAGTGCAGTGGCGTTCAATTTGAATGGCTCTCCAATGCACTAAAGTAACGCACCTCTGACACACCTGTGTTGCAGGGCACCACAAAGCACCATAACACGTCAGCTAAAATAGTGCTAGTATAATTTTCTGATCATTGTGGTGCATTGGCAGCCCATTAAAAATGAATGGGCTGCTTCAACACAAAACATGTTAATGTGCAGTATAATGTGTGTTAACACATCCTGCATGCAAAAGTATTTCTCTTCCTGTACGATAACTCACCATTGATATGAATTGAGCCTTACTCCTACAGTAGAGATGTTAGGCATATAATGCCATTGAAATGCATCTGTTGGTGAACATTTCTGCATCCAGTGTGCAAACACTGCGGAGAGCTGTCACTGCCACAGAGGGATAAGCATGCATCGTGCTGAGGGGGTTCTAGGCTATGAGGGCTAGAATTTTTTTTGAGAAATTGTAACTGTCCTCTAACTTTACGGGACTTTGCATTGTACATGGTACACCCATTGTGTTTTTTTTTTTTTCTTTCTTTTTGAATGTTGCCTTAAATGACTGCACCTGGCAATTCCCTGTAAGAGGAATTAATTTCTCGTGAAAGTAGACCAGCAATGATGTTTTAAATTGTAAAGCATCAATTTTTCCCCAGCTGACAATGTGCTGTGTAGGGAACATGGCTTTCGGCCACAAATTGTCAAGGTAATTCAACGAAGATGTGCCGCGTTCCTTACCTCTGAGATTGTGCTCGTGTCACCGCAACAGCAGGAGAATGAAGCAGAGTAATCACTTTCCTGAATCGTGGCCATAGCGATTACTGCCATGTGAATGTCATTCTTTGTCCACATACTGAATACAGTATCTGCGGGGCGAATGAATTATAGATGTGCTCTCCTAAAATAGCAAATGTCTGTATTTATCATCAGTCTAATGAACTGCCTCTTTATTACTGCTTCATAATTTACTATAAATATTTTACATTTCATTCTGTGTTCCCC